TAATTGAGTTGTATTGTTTCAAATAATGCACCAGATATTAATGCTAAATTAGCGTGAATATCATTTGAAATACAAAATTTGTGCTAATAAAGTAGTATTTCAATACAGTAACAATGGAAAAGTCTATGGTGTTCAGTATAAATAGAGACTCAGAAAATGCATCGAAGAATTTTAATTGCGTTTGTTTTTAACGCAGAACATAGAAATAGAAGTAGCCACTTTAGAAACACCAAAAAAGTAACTTTTGAGAAATCTTATGTTCTTTGTATTGTGATAGCAATTTTCACTATCACACGTCAATTAAATGCGGAAACTTTTTCATGTTCTAATATTTGGGTCAAGATTACCTATAGGTTACCGCTAAGTCACCAAAGCACACAAAATCATTCAAAATATTTTTGGCGAAGTATAGCCAAGAGTATAGCTGTCAGATTAAGACATCCTCTTTTTTATACCTTTGTTAATTTCACGGAATTAACATAAGATTCTTTCTTTGGAGCAGAATCAGAATATTATTTTCTAGAAAATAACAATACAAATAAATGATTTTCATACCTTTCTTCTTAAGATTACCATGTTTCAAAATTCTGAAAAATGAAGGTCATTTAGACGTTTAATCTTTAATTAAGAAAGGGTATTTTTTGCACAGTCCTTTAAAGATATAAGAAAAAAATTGGAAACAAAAGTGGCAAAACAGCCAGGATTTGAATAGAAAATAAGAAGGAAAATTGTCAATGTGTCTTGTGAGAATTATATTAAAAAAGTTGTGGACGAATAGAAAGTTTAAATTCAATAAAGTTAACGTTTGAGACATTTTCTGTATGAGTGAGCTTGTATTTTTTTTGTATCTATTCGTTCACAGGTTACAATGTGTGCTTGAATATACCACTCGATTTTGGCAACAATCTGTCTTGACTTTTTCAATACATTTACTTTCAAATTTACATGTACATACGGTTTTAAAAAGTCGATTTGTTTACAAAGCCCTAAGACGAAAGTTGAAGATGTTAAGTGTTGCTAAGAAAAGTTTTTTTTATGATAATGGGAGAAAATTACATTTTAATAATATTCTTTCATATCCCACCACAGCAAAGAATTCTAGATATTGAGACCAAGAGATAGAGTTGCGCGAGAGTATGAAATTTAATTAAAATTCTTCCTTGGCATACATACGGTAAGGACCAACTTTATATTATGTGTAATTAGCTTTTGGAAACACATGCTGAAAATTTCTTACTCGGCAATCGATAATTAAACGTTAATTATAGAATGAAAATCCAATTATAATCCTCTTTAGTGGTTCTGTTTAGAACAACCACTGACAAGCTCAGAAATGTTGTCACAAAATTTTAGTAAAAGCTTCTGTCAAATTTTCTTTTTTTCAATATGGAGGTAACTACAAAATATTGCATATTTGATTACAAAAAACATAGGAAAAATATAAAAGTTTGTAAACGGCTCAGAAATCACTGGTAAAAAAATAAAACAACTTTCATTTCAACTTGCAAAGTATAGCATAAATTGATTAAACTTATTTGTCAGATTGGATACAAATTATATTCTTATAAAAATTAAATTCACTGCCATGATACGAAAGGAGTTTAATGGAATTCTTTCCATGTATGGTCAGTAAATATCACTCATCCTGTTGAATTTCCCGGTTAAACAATTGCTCACTTGAAAAATTGTAGAGTATGATAGAATGTAAAAAAATAACCATCAAAATATAATCTGCATTTTCAACTGAATACCCAGGAAGTTTGCATGATTCCTTCGCACCGATTTGACTTCCAAATCAGCGAATTGTGTATGTGAATCTCTTATTTCTCAGCACAACGTACTTACCATTTTGGTGGAAACTCCATTCACCCCATTGCCGGATTTAAAATGTTTTCTGGTCTTTGAATTGTATATCATCTCAGCTCATGTGACTTCTGCAAAAAAGCGAGGACAGAAAAATTTATGTAATATTGAAAGATCTCAATTGGAAAAGAAAAGAATGTTAAATCATCTTAACAAGAAACATTGTATTGTAGTAAAACGCAAAAAAACCAAGCAAAGAACTCTAAAAAGACAAGAAAATCCTTACGTAAAATTGTCGGTTTAGAAAGTACTCTTATCGTCAATGTTACAAAATTTTTTGATAAATTCTGACCTATATATAGTAATATTTGCCATGCGGTATAAATTTATGCATATATTTTGTTATTGGAAACCAATTTAATGTAATTTAATATTTAATAAAATGTTGGCTTTAATTTTGAGAAGCGTAATGAAATTCACGAGAAGAAAAGTGTGAATATATGACGTGAAATGCTTCAGGCCAAACTGTCATTAGCAAGTATTTTACACTTTGCTTCCTCCAACTTCAAGCTCTTATACATATGAAGTAGCTTTTAGATCTGTAAAGAAATATTTAGTATCTGATGTATTTCATCCGGTTTTAATTGAACAAAGGTATTTATAGCATGGAAAATGTGAAGATTTTCAATCTCAATTGCTCTCAATGCACTATCCCTTTTCTCTGTGGTAGGAGCTGAAATACATGAGATGCTTTGGGTGACACAATGTTTACCCAAACAGAGATTAGTTGGATGCGCTGAAGCTCAGGTGAAACCATAAAGTTCGTAGATATATCACTATGTGTTTGTATTGATGAAATCAAATGCCTCTGTAAGGGGTTTTAGAAAATTTTCAAACTGGTACTCTTGGTGAATTCCAGAAGAACTAGTGGGTGTTTAAAGGAGAAGTTCATCTAAATAAAAATAGGCTGTTGGTGTCAAAGAGTGGAGAGAAAGAAATATTTATATGAGAATTTGGTCTGTAATAGTCAAAATACGTAATAGACCAACTTGAATAATAGTTTTTTGTCACCTGTCTGTAAACCCTGGCAGTGAATACATACTTCAAGATATAAAAGCTAAATATATGCGGTTTCTAGGGATAAAACAATAAAACACATCTGATCCCAGTTTTGTTCCTTTCATAGGAAAGTGTCTGAAAGGAATCGGATTTCTCGCTATGTCGCTTCGGGTGAATAAAAATGTTTCTCGGCTTGTTGTACTTGCTATCGATTAGATCAATTTTTATGATTTATCTCTTCACAACGAGTGAGCACACAAACTCAATTTATCATCATTCTTTATGCATGGATATATGAGTGTATTGTAGGAGCTTGAGAGACACACTCACGATTCCACTCCTTATAAAAATTAATCATATCGTAGTCAACAGTCCTCTGGCATAAGGTGTGATCTTCGGCAAAATGTATAGTACCTATTCACTAACTGGTGTGAAAGCTCACCTGGTTGGCAATAAATGCGAATTAGAATCCTTGTTGTGATACACTCTGTGTGGCGAGCAATGGCTCGCTTAGTCAATAATGGGAAAACCACAGTGTTAGAACACCGTGAGATGTCGTCTGTCTTCCAAGTGACAATTAGTGATCCCAATAACGCCAATCAACTTTCGGACTCTACTTGTCCGTCGACATGTCCTTCACCAAATACATATTTCCAAATTTCATCCAATGCAAATATCTGATGCACACACTATATGAATAGTGTATGCAGGTTGTGTGTTGTATAATATACATACATATATATAGATAATTTTGAATAGCAAGAAAAGACTCAAAGGAATAATACTGTTCTCATTACAGTCGGAAGTTGTGAATTGAGAGGCGGAATGATTCATGACATGACATCGTATTGAATTAAATCCTCATTTACGAACACTGGCATTTCGAGCTTTCATGTGTTCAAGAATAAATGAGGCGTGATAAAGTCACATCTCGGTAAAGTGCTTAAATTCAGAAGAAATGGCTGCTTGGCGCTTCTTTTATTGTTCATGGGCAACGTTACAAATCAACTCAGAGATTTATTGTCATTCCTCAATGTGAAATGATGTGGTCTGGGATATGAATTGTCTGCGTAGAGTCAAGATTTGTGTGGTGAAATGGCGAGAAAAGGAATCATAAAATTGTCACGCTCAGCCTCAAATTGAAAGGCAGGAGAGAAGATATTATGAGAATCAAGAAGCTTTAAAGCTTCTCCTTCCACGTTTCTTTTCTAAAGTTCACGTCACATGATTTAATATAACTTGTATTTATTCCACTGTTGACGGTGTGCAACAGCGAAAAGCTTTGCCATGGCATTTGTAAAGTGCAACGAGCGTGGATGAAGTTAATGTGTATTTTTTTTATGTCATATTCATCCATTGTATCACAAACTCCGTTCTTGTGTTGAAAAAAGAAAAATACTTCACGGGATGACTTGAAGCCGCAAAAAGCGCATTTTTGGCGTGAATTCGCTCTCCTTGTAGCCACGGGTGTTGTGTGCGAGGCTTCACCAAAAGTTGGACCTAAAATTAAATTTCATTGCATCTACAAAGAACCACAATGAAGGCTCCCCAGTGGTGTTATTAAAAATCGACCAACACCACATGACAATACACAAAAAGTTTGTGAAATTCCATGGTATTCCAAGTATTAAAATAATATAATTTAATATTAAAAGTACTGAAATTAAAATGTCACTGATTTTTTGTCTTAACACGTATAGGGAAATATATATCAGAAAAGAGATAAATAATAAAAGTAGTATTATTATTATTATTATTATTAATTATTTAGCACAACAATTGTTATTTAGGTCCTATTAGACTAAATTATTTAATTTCACTATACTTAAATTATTCAAACATTGCAGATGGGAACTTAAAAAACATATAATGTCGGTTTGCATGTCGAATATGGTTATAATTTCCGAATATATAAATAAATATTTTTCCAAATATGACAGACAATTCATATTATGGTGTTTCGCGTTCTCATCATTTCGTATAAAGACAAGAACTGTGTGAAAATATTCATACTCATCCTTTTTATTGGGCTTGTGTAATTAATTAAACAATTCTTAAATAGCCCCAGGTGTAAAGCTATTTTACCTTATTTCACCAGAGATCATTAATTTGCCTTATTTGCTATTCTCTCTTTTCAGGTCGTAAAATGCACATCTAATATTTATGAATGAGGCTGAAACATCAAAGGTACACCGCTGATTTGACGCCTCGTGAAACCAACGTAAAGGGATTCGAGTTACTGAAGGACACATAACTTGCTACGAAAGATTACAAAATAAGCATAAGTGAGTGGAGAATTCTTTTATAAAAAAAGAGTGCCGTGAAATAACAATATGTGTTGCCTCGGGTGAATGTCCTGCAAATGTTATGCAAAAAATGTGTGTAGTGTCAATGAAGTATACCAAGAATATGTAGTGCGAATTGATGTGGTCATTTGCACTTCATGTGACCCTGAAGAAGTTGTGATGAGACGACGAGAAAATTTTGATCACCGACAAATATGCGCTGTCGCCCTTGCGACATTCGCACTCATAGTTTCCACTTGTGGTAAGTTCTGAATTATTCACACTATTTTGTTACGAACATTTCAGTATTTCTCACTCAGCCTATGTGCTATTCTAAGATACTTAGGAGTAGCTTTTAGTGCTCAGAGTGGCATTTGCATACCTATATATTCATAGCAATTACGTCAATTTATGCGATAACGACACAAGCTCATCATGTTTATAAATTTTATGCTGTAGTCTGTGTCTGAAGTTACTTAATGCAATACAGCTTCCTGTATCTCTCAGTCATTCAAAGTCTATGAAGAACAATAACCCCGGCAAAGAGTTAACAAGAATTTCATATACATACATACATATTGCGTACATCATATTAGCCATATTTTGTTATAAATGTAGAGAGATAGTCTATATTTGCCCTTAAAGTAAATCTCAACTTCTCTCATTGAGTACTTAAATAATTTGTATAATTCTACAACTTGAATATAAATACTCAAATCAATCCTTCATTTGCCTCATCTTACTTATCCTGTAAGATAAGTGACCATTAAAAGAGAGATTCATATTACTGAAAATCGATTTCTTCATATCGTATAATATGTATTTAACTTCAATTTGTATCAATTTTCAAGTCATTAATTCAAGTTAAAAAAAAAATTTGTCAAGCTCTAAATAGCACACCACATTCGACTCTATGAGATGCCTCTTACGAAATTGATTTAGCGCGACTTGTGTTCAGCGTGTTAGGGTCCGACTTCTAAACACGCATCGTATGACAAATGGCCTATGTGAAGAGTCAAGAAACGTGCACAAGTTGCTTCTTAAATTTTTACATAGGGTGAAAGAATATTACTGGGGTAAGGAAGCATGAAAAAGCCTAAAGAGAGTGTGTGCTCAAAGCTCTCTAACGTATAACTTTGGCATAAAGGGTGCGGCTTTTCACTATTTTTTTGTAAATAAATTCATTTTACACCAAGTTTTATTCTTTAAACATTTATAGTGATTTCTCTAATTTCGTTAATTCAAAATTTCCAGGCACGTAAACGTTGCAACCGTCTATATTGATTTTGTAGTCTGCAATATTTTCATCGCATCTAAAATTCCCAACAGCCAAGGGTGTAATATCAATATCAAAAATCTTTTTCACATTCGAGAGCTTTTAAAGCTCTCCCTCATGCTTTATTTGGTGCCCTATTGCTTTGAGAATGTGCATAAAAATTTACACAACGCTCCATTTACTTCACCCTTCTCATAACCATTTGCTGAGGGTAAACTCTGAAAGAATATCACTATTGATTTTTGCAAAATCTTGCGATTTTAGACTTTTTGTGCTACTTTTGTTGAACATTCCCGTAAGATGTGTTGTCATGTCGAGGAGAAATATCAAATGTGAGTGATGGAATAGGGTTAGCTGGGATGGGTACTGAGCAGAGTGCATATTCTTTTCATGTAAATGGGTCGAGCAACGTTTTTGCCTTGACTTATACTAAGGGTAAGAAAACCTTCTAACCGAAGATTGATTTACTATTTTGTATTATTTTGTCTTAGATTTAAACTTCAGTGTAATATATAGAATTTACTCTTCTTCCATGTGTGGTGATCTGTTTCGAAGGATTTTTATTAGTGTCTTTGGCGAGCAAAAAGCATTGTTCTATGGGTTATATGATGCTTTTTATGGACCCACCCAAATTGTGTGTAAACTTTTTATCTTTCGTCATGGACGAGGGTGCAAAAAGCACGAAATCAACACGACAACACTCAACCGCATCAATTAACTACATGCCGAGGGATGGTTTATTGTGTTCTGTGTGGGTGAGTTTAGGGAGGGGAAAAACTATGTATGTCAGTGGGGACTGAGTATAGAATTGAGTGAGGTGGTGACGAAATCTGCTTTTATGATACTTTTCATACACACACACATATATATATATATATATATACACATATATATGCAAGATGAAAATTCCAAATTACGACAATCTTGATTTCTTGCCCGCCATGGAAGACAATGTTTCTTATGTGTATAGAAGAGTCAGCCACAATAAAATGGTTAAAGTTGTTAGAAAGTTGCTACATATTCTATTTTCTCAAGACCCTTCCTCAGTTATTTGGTATTCTTGTTCAGAAGAATAATAAATGCTTCAATGGGGAAAGTTTTCGTCTAACACAGAGCTTTACAAAGTGTTGACAATCTTGTTTACATTGCAGTTGAAACCGAAGATGGATTGCATCGACATTTAGGTATTTCATGGTATTCCAAAATTGCTTGCGGAATTTTTAACTCTTATTTATCGATCCGTCAAATAACTATAACCTCAAGTTTTAAAAATATAATTTAAATCTTGTGCTCTTTGCAAAGTTCAAGTGGAATTGTAAAAGGATTTGTAGAACAAAATCGTATTGCCAATATTGCGTTTAGAAGTAATTTTGAAGGAAATCTTTTACACTATATGTGAAAATTCAATTTGCGGCATCCGGAATATGATATGTAGCATATTTTCATGAGAAATTTTTATTTTAGAAACTTCTTCGTAATCTATGTACATTAATAGGTACAAAAATAATAGAAACTAGATTATTGGTAAACCGCAGTCCTAATTAATATGATTGCGAAAAATATGTTTAAGACACTCAGGGTTATTGTAATAGCTTCAGTTTGCATTCATATAATAGTACATAAAAGTAGAATTATAAACTTAATCTTTTTATTATCTATGTGGAGAATCACAGGTATTTTTTAAAAAAACACTGTTCAGAATATCAAGAACCAAAGAGAAGTTTTCAACAGTTTAAAAACCTTGCTAAAAGGTTACAAAAGTACAAATTGTTGCTGAAGGGCATGATTTTCCGTGGAAATACTTGCACATGAACTGAAGGAGAAATGTCTTGAATGTTTTACCAGGAATGCCTTACCGGCTTGTATTGTTACTGAATGGAATAAAAAGGATCTCCAGTATGAGGTTTTCTCTCTCATTTTTAAATCCTGATAATGGTTTCCACCCTGAGAAAATTCACGACTCTTGTTTTATTATACAAATGGAAAGTTAGAGAATGTCTTTCCGGTGAATTTGTTTTGTTCTTTTCTCCTTAGTATTTCCACTCGCGTGCCCTCCCTATTAAATGTCCATAGAGAAAGGTAAAACGACGAGGTGTAGTATGAGGTGAAAGAACAAATGGTAAAATGAAGGCAGTGTAGAACATTTAGCTGATTAGTTCTGTGTTTGGGGAAATTTTGTGCTATTACAACTCTTGGTGTGTTTTGCAGAGTAAATTGAGTTATGTATATGAGAAGAAAAAAAAATTTTATATGATAGTACATAGAAAACTTTTGCAGTCTTTGCTCGAAAATTGCTGCATAAGGATATTGAAGCATTTCCCTTCTTATTGATTTTTTGCCATATTTCCTGAAAAGATATTTCTTGGCATGAAAATTTCCATACGCCAGTGGAATTAGAGGTGGAAAAGGGACAAAATGAAACCATGAAAATCTATCAGCACTTTTTTTTCCTATGGCTAAAAAGAAGTAATATTAGGAACTTCTTCCTAAAGCCTTTGCAGGAAAACGTGAAGTTTCTATTTGCTCTTAACTGAACCTTTCGGATAGCATGGACGAAGGATGGGAAAAGAGGATTTTTGGGGGAGTGTTCTTGTTATGGTTCATGGAAGATGCTGAAATAATTGGTGGATAATACATAGAAATTGTCAGGTCGTCTTCGCACCCTCAGAGATATGTGACGAGGAAATAAGTTTTCTGGAAGAAATTTTCGCCATTGATCAAAGTTTAAGAGCAAATCGAAAAAGTAATAACTAGTTTATTGGGATGCCCAAAACTTTTCATATAGCACAAATTTTTTCACTACGTCTTAAAAGTGTCTCAAATTGGCTATCATGAAATACCATTAGGATCTCTATTTAAGCCTTTGTCTATGTTCAGCATGAAAATTTATAACACCCATACTGTCTTTGCCACCCTCCGGAGTCTCTCAGTGTTTTACCCTATCATTCTCCTGAATCTTCCTTTCGTGATATCTTCGAAAGCTCTCTCGTGGATCCTCTCTAGAGGTGGCATGTAATGTGTCGTGTAGAATACATTCTTCTCCACTCACAAGTTTTTGGCCACCATCAACATCAATGCACAGCACGTTTTCAGTCATAAATTGTGAATGCTTTATTCGGCACAGATGATGACACGGAGGAAAAGACATTTTTCCTCAGCGCGAAACATGAGCAGACGACATCATATCCATTCTTCATTTTTCCCACCCGCCAGCAATGGTTATATTTCAATAGAGCAATGCGTGCCAAATTTGTAATCGCACTCTTGTCGCATATTGTCCGTTTTATGTCTTGTCTTGCCAATTGGAGGTCAAGGTTCTCTATATTCCCCTTTTGGGGAAATAGTGCCAAGTCGTAGATACGAGGAATAGGGAAACTCATGCCCTAATTATGTGATTTCAGTGATAACACTTCTTGGCTGAGATCCATCTTATGACGGTAACATATTCAAGGATGATTTCAGTATTATTCACGAGCAGGAACGCAAGTTGAACGAAGCACCAGAACCGTTTATAAAATGAATGAAAAAATTGATATTCAAATAAACTCTAAATTGAATGAAATAAATTTATTTTTATCCGTGTTTTATACAAAACATAGTAAATCAATTCGCATATCAACATACATTTTTTACACATACACACACATGCAAATATATATAATATATATATATATATATATAATATATATTATTATATATATATATATATATATATATATATAAAGCTTTTTCTTATCCAATGCGGTCACTATTTCTCATAATGAATCGAGATGTTTTCTTTTCCATTTCTGTCTCATTCTTGTCATTCCTGGTCACAGGCGTCTCCCTGCGTTGTCCCTTTTAGTCGATTTTCCACATTCTTGTGACGACAATCCTGGGGTGATTGGGTGCTGCGAAAGAAATTAAAAAGCCAAGCGGGTGTTTATGGGTAGAAATAAAAATTTTATCTCGTCAATGGTTTCCATTTCCACCGTAGTATGTCGTGA